TTTGGATTTCAGGCTTCTCACAAAAACATGCTTGGAATCCATTTTGGCCGCTTCTACTTCGCGAAATCGTACTTCTGCCTTAAAAAATCAAAAAGAGCAGAGGAGGATTGTTCTCGAAGGGAGGGTAGCTGCAGCAGCTTTTGCGGCAGTGCGTTTCTGTTGATAATTTCTCAGTTTCAATGCTAAATTATACAGAAGCTCGCTTGAAGTCCACTTTTAACCGCTTTAACTTCGCAGAAATCATATCTCTGCCTCCTATAACAAAGAAGCAAAGCGAGACTTGGTCTCGAGGGAAGGAAGGCCTAAGGGCTTCATGCGGCAGTGCATTTCTGCTAGGAATTCCAAAAGCTCGCTTGATCCACTTTTGGCCGCTTTTACTTCGCGGAAATCATACCTCTGCCTCCTATAATGAAGAAGCAAAGCAAATTTGGTTTTGAGGGAAGGAAGGTCCCGAGGGCTTATGCGGCAAGAATGCTAACTTATCAGAAATATTGCTTGAAACCCACTTTGGCCGTTTTTACTTCGCAGAAATCATACTTCTGCCCCCTTTAGCAAAAAAAGGAAAGGGAGCTTGGTCTCGAAGGAAAGAAAGTTCTAAGTGCAACAAGCGGGAAACTTTTCTGCTAAGGATTTCTTAGGTTTGATGCAAAATTAGACAAAAGCTCAATTGATATCCATTTTTGGCCGCTACTACTTTGAGAAAGTCGTATGCACCTAAAAGCAAAAAAAGCGAGGGAAACTTGGTCTTAGGGGAAGGAAGGCCCAGAGGCTTCATGCGGCAGGACATGTTTGCTAAGATCGTCCAGGAGAAAGCTTTGAGCGAACTTTGGTCTCGCTTCAAGAAATGACTTCGCGAGGCATTATAAGGAGAGTATAGGACTGTGCATGATCGCGAAGCTCGATGTGTTTGCGGCCATCGCACATTCCTGAAAGTCAAATCTCGGGTTGAATCAGCTGTTCTACATAGATGACTGCTTCGGCGATTTCCATTTTTAGGAGCTGGGGTTGAGTATTTGCAAGAAGAACAGCGTATGTGATTTGGTAGTTAGTCGCTGTAAAAAGTTTCCTTGAGAGCCTGATCTTGCTTCTACTACTACTTGCATTGCGAAAAAGATCGTTGAAAAAATGGGAATTCATTCTCTTGCTATTCTTAGATGCACGCAGACAATTATCAATGTATCTGCCCCAGCCCACTTACTAGCGACCCGTAGGGTCGCTATTAAATAATATTTGGAAGTATACTTGAGTAATTCGATAATTTTTCATCGAATGAATGAATATCGAATAAATTCGAAAAGGAAAAATCTCGAATAAACGAATATCGAATAAATTCGAAAAATCAAAAATATCGAATAAATGAATTTCGAATAAATTCGGAAAATCAAAAATATAGAATGAATGAATTTCGAATAAATTCGAAAAATCAAAAATATCGAATGAATGAATATCGAATACATATATTCGAACATTGGAAGTCGAATTTCGAATAAATATTCGAATGATTTATCAAATAACTAAAGCAATCACATCTCAAACTTGCCGACATATCTGGCTAAAGCCGATCCAATCATAATCAGCCCCCTAGTATCCCCTATACCAACTCCTAGCTCAAAATTTTCCAACTGCTGAAATCAATAAAATAGATTTCGGTTTTGATCAGCACCCTCACTTATCCCCTTGTACAACTCCCAACCTCGTAGCTCAAGATTTTTCAAAAATCGATAAAATCGATAAAGTAAATTTTTATTCATAATCAGCACCCTCACTTACCCCCTTGTACCAACTCCCAGCCCCGCAGCTTAAGATTTTCCAAAAATCGATAAAGCCGGTCGGCAATTAGTCTATACATCACAAAAAGTCATATTTTACCCATTATTGGACGATCTAAAAAAGCAGTCGACATAAATTTTAATGCTGTGCCCAAAAGATTCTTCTTCATATGGTCTGGAAGAGAATGATGTACACCAGAATTAACTTTATTTCTTATCAGCATCAACAATGTAAAAGCAAAGGGCTTGCTCTACTTTCTACATGATTGGGATACTTTTCTTCTACGTACTGTAGGAATATATGATGGACATATGCGAAACATTATACTTCTTCCATATCAGAATTAACAATGTAAAAGCAAAGTGATTGATCTACTTTCTACATATATGGAAAACATCTTAAAGCATGTTGGAATATGTATGATATATGGATATGGGCAAAACACATCAGCATCATCAATGTAACACGGCACTGTATCTAGATTTCCACGCTTTCTTCGGAAAACTTCTCCTATGAATCTTCAGATGAAGACTGTTCAGAGCTAACGGATGGTGGGTTGGAACCCTCATGACAACCCTCATGTCCAAGTATAAATGCTTCTTCTTCCAGTTTTGTTTCTGTTCTTTTACGCGTCCATACTCTGCTTTATGGCAGCATGCCGTAGCTGCCGTTTGTGTTTGTGCAGTATAGTAAATTTCTCATCTGTTATAGTCTGTTTGGGTGCCAAGATTTTGCGGTGAAAAGCCGGCCGGGAAATCTTGGCACCGCAACACTATATTAAGCGAGAAATCTACTGATCTGTAAAAATGAGGCTCTGATAATCTACGAGTGTGGCCGCTATCTTATCATCAGCTTATCTATCCCTTTGCTCAACTTTCATTACTAGATTCAATCCTTATGACCATTGAGCACATTCGTGACAATAAACTTCGAGATCAAACATCTATTTTTATTTGGGATTTTCTGAGACCTACAGCCAGAAGCCTATTGCCGGACGAAGTGCACCAGCCATCTTCAAGCGGTCGCGAGCGTAGTGTAAGCGGCTGCACTTCGTGATCCTTGGGCGTTGTACACCGTACGGGTAAGAACCGCATCTGTACACTTTGATCCTGCGGCTTTGTTCGACAGCAGACCTTATTTGTCAGACTTCCACTAGATTTCAAAGACGTTTAGGAGAGTAAAGATAAAATTGGCTGGAGCTAAAATCAAAAAATGAGAAACATTGCAACTTGGTCTAAGCATCTACCGAGCTGTTCGGATTCATAGCGCTAGGTGTGCGATCTTTCGAAGCAATAAGGTGGCCACATATGTACTTAAATTCCACAAATGCTACGATACATTGCCTGTTCATCGGAGACTTTCGTCTTGTGTGGTATAAGCTAGTCGTGGACGAAGGCATATGGTTTTCTCCGCGAAGCGAGCACGAATGCCCCTATAACCCCGGGCATACTGCAGGCATTTCACTGGCGACGTGGTATGGCAATACTCAAATTGTCCAAAACCTATTCTAAAAGTATAGAATGCAGGGCATTTATCTTTTTAGTATGTTGTAGACGCTAAACATTTGTGGTAAGCTGCCACTACATCTGAAGACATCTCGTAACTGGCAAATCGCGTACGGCGACCTAAACGTCTAATTCTGCACTACAACTGCGATGTCCTTTACTCAATATACACCAAATCGCAAAACACTCCAAGGTAACGAATAGGCAGTTTTGCAATAATTTATACTAGCAAGAGTGCTCACTAGTGTGGGCTTTGCGTACCGCAAGCATGAGCAATGCAAAGAAAGAAGAACAGCCATTTCAATTCAGTATGAACTCAGAACATGAGCTTGAATTTAATATCTTCTTTGCTGATTTGGTGCCAATAGCAGTGGGAACAATCTCATTGATCGAAAAAGCATCAATTGAAATCACATATGATTCTTTTACTGTCGCAAGCAGTCGAAGAATGCGACTCTCCATAAAGTTCAAAGGTATACCGGTTGCAAAAGATGCATTACCGAGTTTTGCGAAAAAAAGAAACCCGGACAAAGTGAGCTTGATACTCAGCTCTGAATAGGAGTTCATTCGAATACGAATTCGAATAAACATTCGAATAAAACATTCGAATAAACATTCGAATAAAACATTCGAATAAAATCTATTCGAAACCTCGTTTTTTGATTATTCGAGTTTTCGAATAATATTCGAAACCTCGTTTTTTGATTATTCGGGTTTTCGAATTTTATTCGAAACCCAGCTTTTTGATTATTCGAGTTTCGAATTTTATTCGAAACCCCGTTTTCTCAATTATTCGAGTTTCGAATATCATTCGAAAATGGAAGAACTCCGAATATCGAATTTCGAATACGAATATATTCGAATGATCGAATTTCTATTCGATTCGGACCCAAGTATATTTGGAAGCTTAGGATTGCTTTGGCAATAGCATGCCAAAAGTCGTCTTCTCAATTCCTAGCAACTAAGGAAATCATGGAACTGTGCATACAAGTGTTTGTAGATTGCGCGTGAAGTTGGGTGTCCTTAATATTTTTTTGGACGGAGATACGTTTTCTTTTATTTTTCAAAGATTGACCAGACTTGGTGCAAATATGAGATCCTTTTTGTAGAGCTTGCTTTGGTTATACCCGTTTACTTTTCTTGATTTACTCTGCCAACACTCCAATATATTCGAAGTGTGTTATTATGTGCCAACAACCCATTTTATACGAAGTGTGTTATTATGCGATGATGCCATTGCATGACTGAATATTGGTTGAGCAGAAATTTTTACTACCCCAATTTCACGCGTACAAGGCGCACATTCTCCTATTTTTCGACGAGCCGCTCAGATCTCCAGCGTATTTCGGAAAGATAGTTTTAAGCAATATAAAGCACGATACTCTTAAGCAATATAAGCACATTATCGGGTCCTTTGGTCGCGAAGTCCTTCGGCGTGTTTGGGCTTGTCTTTCGTAAAATCTTCCCCGCCTTGTACGCGTGACGTTAGGATGTTTCCTCATTATCTAAATGACCTTTGTTTCATAGCGAAAATTTTAGGAGAAAGAACATATGAGAATATCTTACTATGACTTCAGTGAATTAAGCAAACATGCCCGCATTTTCGCAAAGGTTGTGGACTGTAGTATGCAATTCAAAAGTTTATTGTAGAGATCGAAACATACAATGATCATGGACTATTGAAAATAGCGCTAGCCATACCTTTAATAGTCTAGAAGGGCCTTAAGAGTGAAGGTGCTCGAATATCTATCCTTCAGAAAAAGTAAGGCTGTTTACAGAGAATCAGAGAAGAAAAAAGATGCAAAACTGTTAGCAAATCGGGAAAAACTAATCTGACAAAAACGCTGTAATAAGTTTGAAATCTTTCATTTGGCGGCATTTCAAAGTGCATTTTCGTTCCAGGACCAGGCAATCCGCAACAAGAGGAAAAAGGACGAAAGGCTAGTTTCTTCTTCGTGATTGTTTCAAAACCATGTCTAGAAGTAGTGATTGCCAATAAGAAGATAAACAGGAAAAGAAATAGTTTTAAAAACGCAAAGTTTTGATTTTATCGAGTCGAAATGAGCGTTAAAGCCAACCTAGTTTTTATGACGTCGTTCATGTTTCCTGCGACGTTGTTTGCATTGTTGCGCTCAATATTTTGAGCAGTTGCCCAAGTTGGAAAAAACGCTGCGAAAACACTGAAAGAGAACAAGGTGAAAAAAAACGCACTTTTTACAATTTCTCATAAAAAAATCCGCCATAGCCAAACAAATAGGCTCTGCGACGTTGTTAACATTATAGGAAGAGCAAGATGAGATTTTCGAAAGCACGATTTTTTGCCAGATTTCTCATTCAAGGGAAGCAGTGTCTCGCCAAAATTTCGCATTCCAGTTTTCACTTTTTCAGAGACTCCTCGCCACGAAAAATCCATTTCTGGGCTTTTCAGCGTTAAAAATGGCGTGAGCTTTTTCCGAAACTTTTCAGGTCCACATTCAGTAAGGATACGCCGGTAGACTTTCTCGCCCCGTCTTCCTCGTTCCAGGCCCTGCCCACTTGCGCGTATTCTCTACTGAATGACCTGGAAAGCTTTGGAAAAAGTTCATTTTCGCCAACTTCATGCGCTGAAGAACCCAGATATAGATCCTTATGGCGAGAAGGCTCCGAAAAGGTGGAGATCTGAAAAACGAAATTTTACCGAGACACTGCCTTCGAATTGAAAAATGGGGTTTTGCGACGCTATCAGCGTGAAAGTAGAGATCAAGAGCTTCGATATAATATACAGCTTGCTAGAACTGGATTTAAGACAAGGAGAAAAAAGTACCAAAGCCAAATGCCCCTTACCCTGCGTTTGAGGTGGCGAGATAACGCGCAACGCGAAGTCGCAGACTAGCAGAGGAGGAAGACAAGACCGTCGGAGCATTTGACTTTGGTCGTAGATCTCTGCGGGGTCGCAACAAAACCCTGCAACATTATATATTATTATATATATCATTCTGATCTTCATGTCACGGCTAGGAACTGACAACTCGTTGAAAGACTTATTAATGAAATATACCAGCAAATTTGCTCTCGTCTGCGTAAGATTCAAGCTCAGGTTTTCATTTTTATTAAACTTTTGCTTTTGTAAACCTCTGAAACTGAATCATAGCCTAAGAAGTGGTTATGAGAGAAATGTTGTTCAAATTTCCGGCGGAAATTTTTCAAAAAAAACCTTTTTTCTAGGGCTATAACGACGCAATTTTTCAGTTTGGATGTGAAGACGGCAATTCATTCTTTATACTTGCTTCACTCACATTTATTTCAACTTGGTCATGATCTTGACCCGGGGCTTCGGCCCGGATGACATGTGTTTTTCTCTGGTGAAAGTCGTGTCTCTTATTTTGCTGGAGGTGAAGGTTACCAGAATACATGGTTCTATGTAACGAGGGTATGGCGCTAGCCAAAATGCAAATGTAAGACCTTTCATGTAATTGTAAATTAATCTTATATATAAAGCTGAATGTCTGTCTGTCTGTCTGTATGTATGTATGTATGTCTGTACGTATGTGCGGAATAGAAATTTTTATTTCTGAACCGATCGGGACCAAACTTGGCACACATATACTTCGGGGCAGGAAGCGTGTCATAGACTACTTTTCGTTATCGATCGATATCGATTTTATCGATTTTTTGCAAAATTTGAGCTACGGGGCTGGGAGTTGGCACAGGGGGGTAATCGAGCATGCTGATTACAAATATGTTATTGACAGGGCCGGGCGGAGCCGGGTTTGCCAACTAGTTAATTCTAAAGTTATCCTGTTTCGCCTCTACCCCTAGACAGGGAACTGTATAAGACCACTCCCGAGGCTCATCAGTAGGGAGGAGTGGTTGAAGGAGGAGAAGAGTGATGACACCATAGCAGGGTCGCCTTTTATACCTGTGGGGTAGCTCAAATAGATCAAAGGCCGAATAATTAGATCATACTGTAGATTATATTAGAAACAAAGGTTTTGACATTTCTGAAATTGCTTAATTGTTTATACTTGTATGTAATGCATTTGTTAAATGTCAAACATTTGAATATTCCTAGCTGTATCATTTCTTTGTCATATTTCAGTTTGAGTAATAACCTAATCAGGATTTTGACTCTATCGTAAAAGTCTTCAAACTCAGTGCAGGTTCTATATATTCTTAGAACTTCTGTATAAATAATAGCGCATTTAAGCATAGAGCTTATGTATGAAGACCCATGGCTAAATCTGATTACTTCGAAATCAAAATCATCTGTTTTGTTATACTGTTTTAATGTTTTAACCCACTCAAATATTTTGGGTTTATCTTTGCTGTGGTGTGAAAGATTTATAACTGCTTTTTGCTCGCAAATTTACAAGGTACAGAAGGCTCTCAACGACCACCCAAGTTTGCAACAAAATTTCTCAGTTCAGTGGTCTTCAATACTTTCAAGAAAGTATTTTGTAGCACAGGGCTTCGCAACCGTTATGCAAACCTTTGTAATAAACCTTCGTTGATCGTGGATTTAGGACAGAGAGAGCGAAAGGGAAGAATTTTGGAATCTACTCTATTGACTTTGATGGCTTAAAACTTTACAAGATCTACAACCTAAAGCATTTATAGGAAACTAAGAGAAATGCTCTTTTAACTATCATGAAAAGCTTTTGAGATAGTTGGTTCTGCTTTGAAAACCAGCCTTTGAAAAAGAGGTAAACTTATGAATCAGCGAATCAGCAATAATTTGCCTATTCAGGATGTACTAATCTTTCAATGTCATGTATCTTTCACTTTCGTTTTTAAACCTTTCTCAGTAATAAGCGGCGAACAATCACCACTCTTTTTTCCGCACCACATAACTTCTCTCAACTCGATTATATATGACTCCCACAATCATATGCTTGATCGCATTTGATAGACGCGTTTTCCGCAACTTCTCAGGAACACAATTGATGTGTCGCCACGTCCAAAATCGACTTTTTGTTAGTGTTATTTGAACCCATCGCACAGCGACTGAGGCGTCACATCTTATACAACACATCGCTGGGCAGTGAGGTAACCATTGACAACGGGATTGGCGGCTGGAAGGCGAGGCTGTGAGGCTTAATCAAGGCTAGGGAATGATAAGAGAGCATGCTCACAAGAGAGAAGCAGACTGCATCGCAGATGCGAACCAAAAAGGGTTGCTAGTGGTTGGTCAAATTTGCTCCAAGGTTATTTTTTGAGCGCATTAACGTTATCGAAAATATTAGGTTGTCCCGAAAGTTTTGTCGGTTTCTTCCATCGCTCACCAAACCTCAAGGAACACCAATTCATGAACGCCCTAGATGACATTCTATTCATTTTTTGTCCCCTTTCTTATAGCTACATTTGTTCCCTGATCTATTCCGTCTTTGCGATGTTATCGCAATGGCTTTTTGAGCATCTCAGCAGTAGCGCCAGAACTTTCCTGAATTTTCAAAATTTTTATCTTGATATTTTCGACGAGCGCTGGTGACTATTATGTAGGGCAAACCTTTGGCTACATCGTACCCATTTTAGATTACGTGTGCCACGTTTATCAAGTGCGTAATAATTGTTTATTTGAGAAAAACCGCGGCTTTTTGAACACGTTTTACCACGTAAAATTACCGAAAATTCCAAAAAGCTGATTTTTGAAGCGAAATGAACTTGGCTATGTTGCATAAATGATGTTTAATAACAAACAAGTTTGAATTCGCAAAAACTTCAAAAGCTTTCATGCTTTTGCTGCAATTGCGCGTTTCATGACTTTGCTAAAAACCGAGGCCTCCGGAGAAATAATTTTTTGAAGTTGAAATCAGCATATTAGGAGTATCTAAAAATATCACCTTGTAGCCCGAGAGTTGCTCTATTTGACCCAAACTTAGTCTTTTTCGAAACTTTGTAATAAAATTTCTAAAAATTAGCTCAATTTTAAGCGGGTAAAATTGACAGGTGGGGAATTTTGGCAATTATCAAAAAAAGCATACAAGAATATGGTAGGTTATGTGTATCCATAAGAAAGAGAAGGAAAAGCTGCATCGAATGCATGCTGAAACTCACTCAGGTCTTTATTGTGCGTGGTTTTACAGTGGCCAAGTTTGGGATAATGACGATAGTTGTTAGGTTTAGTACTCTGGCAAATGAGTGATTATCAAAAGATCCAACTAAAACAGCCACGAGTAAGAGAAAGAGGAGCTGTTACGATAGCCATTTGAAGCACTCGTCTGGTTTGTACAGCCTGATCGTCAAGACTGTACCTCACAAACAGAGTGTCGTATCATTTTCAGAGCTTACATCGCAGCCATCTTTGATGAGTTCTCATTAGGGTCATTCAGGTCCAAACAAAGCAAGGCTAAAAGCAGGGGATCTATTGTGTATCACTGACTCCAAGAATTAGAAAGAGAGAGGCGAAGGATTGCGGATATCGTTAATAAACTTCTTCAATCTCCATATTGCTATACAAATTCAGGGCTTGGCACGATGTGCCTCATGGCATTTTTTGGAAGCGAAATCTTTGTTGACTTTGGAACAAAGATACGACATCCACCATGAAGAGCCTATGAAAGGACGAACGTGAAAAAGCCACGAAGAACAGCAGAACACGACACAAAGACAGTATAGGCGATAAAAAACCTAACATTCTTCGAGTTGCCAGCATGTGTGTCCGGCTCTCACCACCGCGCGCTTGTAGCGGATTTGTCGTCGCCATTCAAAATTTTTGGAGAGCTGTAATCAGGCGATGAGGAGATTAGGGAAGGTTCAAAATTTCTTCTGTAGGGTTTTGAATTTAGATTAAAATTATGTAAAGATTCCAAAAGCTTATGTCAAGGAAGGAAATTTCATTGCTTTTTTGCTCCCAGCCACCTGAGATGGCTCTCCAGGTCCACCTAACTCCGAAAAAGGTCTGCCATGCCTTAAGTTCGCATAATTTTTCGTAATTTTCCATACATAGGCTTAGGCTGGGTAGGCTCTGGGTAGGCTTTTGGCTCCCTACCCATCTACAGACGAAATTTGATGCTCTTCGCTGCAAACAAGCTTTTTGTTCACCTCGAGGCGCATTTTAAATTTGCGCGCTTCCACGGAAAGAGGAAAATTGTTGGCTCTGCAAAGAATTTGTACGATAGGACAGTGATGCATTTGCGACGTCTTCAGAGGATGAGGCATTCAAATAAAAGAAGGGATGACTGTGAAAGGAAGGGAGGAGGTGGGTGATTTTGAAGTGGAGATGAAAGTTGAGAGTATACGTGTGTAATGTGACAGCGATAGGAAAATCTGTTTTGTAGTTGTTTTTTTTTTGTCAGGGGTAGAGCTGTAAAAATTTGTTAGTTGATGGGCGTGAAGTTGGCCAAATCCTCAAGTTTTTTTACTAGGTTTAGTTTCATACAAAACTTGTTTTGCGTGATCGGAAGCTTTCCTGGAAATTCTTTGCCGCTTTTAGAAGATTGATCACGAAGAACTGACGTTTTTTGGAACAAATCAAGCTAATACAGAGTGTCCCAAAAAGATGTGCACACTGTTTGATCGTTAATAACTCTCTTGCTTTCATGTTTTTTACCGAGCTTGAGGTACCATTCTGTAGAACAAGGTTTAACTTTTTACGGTATGAAGCGAATCACCAATCACTTTTCATTATCGGATTACGGTATGAACTTTCAGCATACGGTGTCACTGTGGAATAGGCCTTTTGATGAAATAATTTCAAAGAAAAACCTGAAAACTTGTGTAGCAAGGTTTTGAGGCGTGCTGATGTCACTACATAGCTTTCCGCCAGCTTTTCGAGCTTTCTTGATGACGTATTCATATCTCTGACAAACATTGGAAAAACAATTGTCACACTAAATCTGAAATAACTCATGAAAGAAGCACTGTACTGAAGTGCAATTTTCATATTTAGAATCAGCGATTTCGATTAACCCAGTTCAAGTTTTTGGCTTGTTTGGCTTTCTTTCTGAGGCTAAATGCTGCTTTCAAA